AGATGAATGGATTATTTTGAGATTGGGCTTATTGCTTGAAGATTAGAAGAATGAGATGGTCTTATTGAAAAGTGATTCAGAGGGGACATGCAGGGGGGGAGGGGCAAATGTGCCTGCCAGGAAGATGATTCCTCTTGGGATCAGGTTGGGGTTGGGGTAGAAATCTAGAACTAGGGAGGACAGTGTAAAAATAACTTGTCATTTCCATCTTGAATTTCCCTTCTTATAAGATTTGGTCTGTGCAGTTCTCTTCCACGGCAAATAGTGCCATCTTGGTCATTGAATATGTTCCAGTATGAGTTAGACAGATTTTTGAATGAAAAGGGAGTTGTGGGTTATGGGGACAGGGAGGAAAATAGAGTCAAAGACAAAACAAGTTCAGCTATGTTCTTGTTGAATGACGAAGTAGGCTTGATTTGGACAATGCGTTACTTTAGCTCTTTGTTATGATCTTATAAGCTGCTACTGGATTTGATGGAGAGAACCAAGAACTATTTATCGAAAAGGTTTCAATTTTATGTAACTGTACACAAGCAATTCATCTGTAGTACTTAAGACTCTTCATGGTTACTATTTCATTGATTTGTGTAACTTTAAGTTGTGAATATTGTTTAACGCAATATCCATTACCATTAATATTTCCCTTGGGGAGACATTTCAATTTCCATGCACCATCCTGCACAACATTCTTTTCTAGAGGTTACCAAGTAACTTAGTCGTGATTTACATTTACCTCAATTATTTATTTAAGAACTAAATCATTGTTCAAAATTTCTGAAGACGTAAGGGATTCCAGATCATATGTAATTTCAGTGATGTCTAACAAAATACAATTCTTGGATGTGATTGAGCCTTTTTGAATTAAAATAGACTGTTGAAGCTGATTATTCGAAGCAGCTTTGTTTATCATTGTGCTCAATAGTTAGCCAGGAAAACAAAAGTGGCTCTACTATACAAACTAGAAGAAAGATCCTAGATTTTGATTTTGCAATTAACATTGTTCTGTACAGTAACTCAGAAAATAGATGAAACAAGGGAGAATTAGAAGGAGCATAAGTTAGTCCTTCAAACAATGCAGTGAAAATCAAATGCATGATGCTAAGTATCAACAAAACAAGGGAATTAAGAGCTATGCAAAATTGAGTATTGGAGCTCAGTGACTTTAAATACTTAAGATTATGGATTAAAACAACAGATAGGTAGATTCTTGTTACGTACATACAACAAATTAGGAGCCGGAGTAGGACACTTGACAGAGCCTTCTCAGCCATTCAGTAAGATCATGGCTGATTTGGTTATTCCGCATTCTTGTTTACTGGTGATAACCTTTTACCCTCTGTTCATCAAGAATCCACTTTTCCATGAAATATTCAAGGACTCTTTCTTCAGAAGGTGATGAAAACAAGGATTTCAAAGAAAACCCTTAGATATACAGTTGTCTTGTTTTCCGTTTTAAATTTATTTTGAAACCGCTAGCTCTAGTTCTAAATCCTCCATTAGAATAAACATCCTTTCCATTTGCACCCTAGCAAGACACCTTTGGATCATGTGGTTCAATTAAGTTGTCCCTGACTTAACTCCACTGGCTGCAAGTTAAGCAGATGCATGCCTACTCTGTCCAACTTTTGGCGCAATACATGAAGAGACATTGTGAAAAGTTTTGCCAAATCAGGATGTCCCAACAGAGCAGAAATGATAGTCAAAGTACTGAAGCTGGTGTGTGTTATGACCATTGTGCGTGCTCTTCATTGTATTCTTGGCTTTCTGGGGCAGTTGGTGGAATGTGCATCCCAAAAGTAGCAATTAAATCAGGAAATTGAAGGGCAAGTGGAAAATTAAAACCACCTAGACAAATGGAACTGAATTGTTGGAGCAGTGTGCTGATAGGTGCCTGGGTTCTGATGTATTTCATCCTAGAGCCTTAAATGAAGTGTCTGGTATGAAAGTTGATGCATTATGCAGGGAAATAATACAGGAGTTGAATATTATTTAAATGAAGAAAGTGCAGAAAGCTTCAGCACGGATTTGGGAGTCATTATACGTAAATCACAAAGCTAGCATACAGATTTAGCGAGTAATGGGAAATGCCACTGGAATATTCGTAGAATCATTGAAACCCCACAGTGTGGAACCAATGTGTATCTCCAACAAGAGTGAATCTGATCATCGCTCCTTAATGGCACCATCACTCAGTTCTCCACAATCATTGACCAGAAACTCAACTCAACCAGTCATCTAATTACTGGCTACATGAACAGGTCAGAAGCTAAGAATCCTGCAGCAAATACTCTTTTCATTGTCCTGTCTACTATCTTCAACGCACAAGTCAGGAGTGTGATGAAATACTCCTCACTTGCAAGGATCAGGTCACTCCAATAGTGTTCAAGAAGTTTGACACCATTCATGACAAAGTAGCACACTTGACTGGCAATACATCCACAAACATTGGCATAGAATTTATAGAATTTTACAGTACAGAAATAATCTATTCGATTTCCCCTGTGTCTGTACTGGCTCCTAGAAAGGGCTATCCAGTTAGTCCCATCCTCCATACCCTGTAAATTCATCACTTTCAGATACGTATCCAGCTGTCTTTTAAACCTCCTATGGAATCCACCTCGTTCACTTTGCCAGGCAATGCATCCCAAATCCTAAGACTGACTGTTAGAAGGGTTGGGGTGGGGGGTGCGTGTCGTCTGTGTCGCAGGCTTTTTGGAGAGTCAGTATGGCTTCAACGGGCTGAATGGTCTGCACCCATGTGGTAAGGATTCTGAGTTATACAAGTTTCTCCTCCTCTCTCCTAGCTGTCTTGCTTACAATCCTGAAATTGGCTGACATACCAACTAGTGGAAACAATATCCTTCTTTATCCTGTCAAAATTGTTCATAATTTCGAACTCCTCAATAAGGTCAACTCTTAATCATCTTTGCTCTGTGGAGAATAAGCCCAATTTCTCTGATCTTACCTTATATCTAAAATCCCTCATTCCTGGTATCATTCTAATAAGTCTCCTTGGAAATGTCTACAGGGCTTTAACATCCTTCCTAAAAGGTGTCCAGACCCGAATACAATTGTCCAAACGTGGTCTGACCAATGATTTGTAGAAGTGTAGCATCACCCCCTTGCTTTTATGCTCCATACGTCTATTTATAAATTCAAAGATCCCATTAGCTACCTAACTGTTTCAGCTTGTGTGGCCACCTTCAGAGAATCATTCACGTGAACCCTGAGGTCCCTCTGCACCTGTATTCCCTTCAAAGTTGTACCATTAGCCTGTGTTTTTTCCACGTTTCTTCTACCAAAATACATTAACTTGTATTTCTCTGCTTTGGAATTCATATGCTAGGTGTCAGCCCATTTGGTCAACTTCTATCCCTCTGAAGTTGCTCAGTGTCATCCTCATAATTCACTATTCTCCCCACCTGAAATTTGAGAGATTTTGCCCCTAACGCCTGTCTCTAAGTCATTTGTATCAATCAGAAAAAACAAAGGTCCAACACTGATGCCAAGGGAATACCACTTTCAACTTGTCTCCAATCTTAGAAACACCTTTAGAAAAATCTGAAGGGTCTAGGCCCAAAACGTCAGCTTTCCTGCTCCTCTGATGCTGCTTGGCCTGTTGTGTTCATCCAGCTCGACACCTTGTTATTTCAGATTCTCCAGCATCTGCAGTTCCTACTAGCTCTGAAACAATCCCAAACATTTCTGTTTTGCTAACCAACTGCCATGTGGCACCGTATGAAGTCCAAATATACAATATCCATAGCACTGCCCTCATTTTCTGCCTTGTCACCTCATTGAGAACTTTGAGAAACATGATCTGCCTTGACAAAGTGATGTTGACTGTTTAATATTAAATTACTTTTTCTCTGTTTATTGTATCCTGTATTTTGGCCCTCATCAGTTTTCCCACTGTTGATGTCAAGCTGACAGGTTTGTAGTTTCTTGGGTCATCCTTTGTCCCTTAAACAATGGTGTCACAATTGCAATCTTCCAAGTTTCTGGGACTACTCCTGTATTCAGAGAGGCTGGCTCCGCTATTTGCTCCCTTAGCCCTGTCAGCAATCTAGGATGCACCCCATCCAGGTCTGATGACTTCTCTACCTGGAGTCCTGCTAGATCTTTTTAGAACCTCTACTTTATCACTATACTGCTCAGTTGCTGAACGCCCACATTTTCAATTAGGCCATTGTCACCATGTTCAAATTTGGTAAAGACAGAAGTAAAATATTTAATTTAGTACCTCTGCCATATCCTTTGCTTCAGTGAACAGCTTACCCTGCTAGTTCCTTATAGGCCCGACTTTATCCTTCACTAATCTCTTACTATTTAATGTGTTTGAAGAATATTTTACTGTTTGACTTAGTGCAGCCTGCCAATCTTTCTTCATGCTTCTTTTTAGTCTTCCTTATTCCGCCCTTGGCCTGTCTCTTGTATTTGAGGTACTCTTCCTGATTTCTATTGCTATTGTTATTCTGGTATTCATCATATAAGAATGTGAGAACCAGGAGCAGGAGTAGGCCATCTGGCCCTTCAAGCCTGCTCGCCGTTCAATAAGATCATGGCTGAGCTTTTCATGGCCTCAGTTCCACTTAACCCAGCCTCTCACCATAACCCTTAATTCCTTTACTATTCAAAAAATATCTGTCTTAGCTTTAAAAACATTCAATGAGGAAGCCTCAACTACTTTGCTGGGCAGGGAATTCCACAGATTCGCAACCTTTTGGGTGAAGAAGTTCCTCCTCGATTCAGTCCTAAATTTAATTAAATAACATCAATATGTGGTAGTCCAATATAGATGTGAGATTTGAATTCAAAAATGACACAATAAAAGCAATGAGAGTATAATTCCACTGAAAAGTGGGGTGTTTAGAAAGAACATTGGCAAAATCGTCAGTTGATTGGAAGTATGTGAACATGAATGTATCACTTTGAAGTTAAGTCTGCATCAGTTTTTCTCCATAAGAAATGTATAGTTAACACTAATTTCTCTTCTACAGGCCTACAACATTCATGTGAATGGAGTGTTACATTGTCGAGTCCGATACAGTCAACTGTATGGATTGCATGAGCAGGTGATTTTTTTTCCATTTGGAAGGCATGATAGCTCCCATTCACAAACTGCTATTTTCCATCAGTTATTTCTTGATAAGTCTCCTGGACAGGAATTGATCATTATTTTGCCTACGACTTCATTACTTTTAACTTAAGGAACCTTCTCTTCAAAGAAATTAACTTCAAAGTAATGAATTTGGTTCGAAAGGCATAATGGATTTTCACTGCAAAATGACATGAACAACTTTGAAAAAATATTTAACAAACAAAGCAAATGCAGAACTTCTGTATATATTCACACCTCATTTCGTCTTTTTTATATGCTATACCATGAAGAAATTTTTGTTTTTGTATTGTGAAAGAATCTGCCTTCATTCTCTTCGATGTTCCTTTTGTTCCACCTGCCCCCTCCTCCCTTCTGGCTTAAAAACCTTTACAAATCTATCCATCTTCAGTTTTGAAGAAAGATTATCAACCCGAGACATTAAGTCCGAATCTCCATAAATGTGCCCTGACTTAACTATTTTCAACATTTCTTGGTTGTACTTTGCTTTTGAGCAGCTTTAGTATTGTATGTTTTGTTTTGAGTGTATGTATCAAAATGTTTAAAGTTGTACCATTCATGGCCTCAGCTGCCTTGGCCCTAAGCACTGGAATTCCTTCCCTGAAATCCTCTAATTTACTACAATTCTCATGTAAGATTCATAAAATCTGCTTCCAGGCCAGTTTTGGCTATTTAACTTGATGTTGCTTTAGGTGGCAGTGTGCCTAGCACAACTAAACTAATTAAGGATCCTTTTAAGTTGTTCACCAGTAACTGTTTCCGCGAAAAGTCGAAGATGTTTAATGAAGTGGCAGAACCTTTCCCAAGGTGATCAGGACCAATACGTATCATGCTATTAGCAAGACACAAGTCTGCAAGAATTTCTTTTTTTAAAGAAACGTGCGTTTAGAATTGGTTGTGTATTTTGTATATGATCCTGTATTTTCTTTCAGCTGAGAAAAGAATACGGGGCCAATGTACTTCCTCACTTTCCCCCTAAAAAGATTTTCACGTTAACGACTGCAGAAGTAGAACAGCGAAGGGAGCAATTAGAAAAGTACATTCAGAGTGGTAAGCTCGTGTTAACCAGTTCCGTTTTAACCCATAATTTGAATCAGAATTAGCAATTTATGCTTTGATATTTGGACCCGTGCACAGAGATTGCTGAAGTAAATTAAATGCCTTATTAACACTGTTCTAAAGGAATTTAAATTATAATGGATTCTGAAAATTGGTAATTTTACTCGGCCCACTTCAAGCCTGAATTAGAACATTGAACAGTACAGCACAGTACAGGCCCTTCGGCCCAAGATGTTGTGCCGACCTATTATCCTACTAAGATCAAACTACCCTGCGTACCCTACGTTTTACTATCCTCCATGTGTCTGTCCGTTCAGTTAGCATTTCTTTGCTTCTGTGAAGCACTATTGGGGAAGGGCTGTTTCCTTCCTCTTAGCCTAATCCGCCTTAGTTGCATTGTACTTTGAAAATATTTTTTGATTATTCAAGTTCTGTTTAGATTTACTTATCTTTGGTTTTATGTAATTTCTTCCATTTCATTTCCCTCCCCTTTGCCAAATATGTATGGACAGATTTAATTAGTAGGTGATGGCAAGTCTCTCGTACTTGTGTGTTCTTTTTTGCTTGACCTGATAGTTGGAGTTATCATCTGTTCAATTCTGAAGCTTGATGTTGTGCAGGAGACCTTCTAAATATTGCTTATACATATGTATTCTACAAAGATGGATTCAACGAAAAATACATGTTACTTAGAACCTTACCATATTAGTAAACCCAAGAGTTAGACCAGTGAAATGATTGTACTCAATATGTGCTTTGCATGGCAATCACTGATCAATTGTTTGAACAAGGTTTTTGTGGTTCTTTTTACTTGTCATCACACTTTACGAAGGTTCCACATGATTGTCAGTTTTCTCCTTTCAACTCCTCCCCTCCAACTAAGAAGTTTATAATTAAGATATTTCCATGCTTTTGCTACCCTTCAGTTATTGACACAGACGTACACAGATGTAGCAGAGCTCTGCAGATAAGGCAATTGGGAAAATTAAAAGTGCAATGTTTCATTGCAGTTAGATAGGACTTATTACTACTTGAATCATGACGATTCTAACCCTGTTTTCTGGGCCAATTGCCTGGTCAGTCTCATTGGTAAGCTTAATTGCATTCAGTTATGCTTGAATTTTATTTTGCTGCTTCAATCCTTTGTACACTTTTGCAGCTTCTACATGTCTTATAAAATTATTTAGTAGTGTTTGGCTAAACTAGTCATTAGAACTTCCAGTAATTTCACAAAACTGATAACGTATGCATTAATGTTTGTATTACCTGGGACTGATTTTCCTATAATCCGCCTGAGAGGAAAAAAATAATTTTGTTAAAACTAATTCTTGTTTTATCTTAGTACGCCAAGATTCCTTGCTAGGTGGCAGTGAGGCATTCAACAGCTTTCTGAGAAAAGCTCAACAGGTATGTTGGTGTTTATGGTCAAGAATATATCAAAAGGAATGTTTGGAAAAGGTTGTGTATGTTTTCTTTCCTTTTGATACTCACACGAGGAAATGGAACACTCATCATCGTACTGTAAAGGACTATCTTAATTATTGCGACGCATCCTAAAATGTTTGATCAGTAGCTTTCATTTTATTTCTCATTGATATGACCTCTACTTAATTGGTAGCACTCATGGCTGACACTTCACCCCAAACTTCAAGGTATAACTTTGATTTAGGCTGGCATTCCACTCTAGCATTAAAGCAGTGTTACCCTTGTGATGTGATAGTAAGATGAGCTCTTGTCTGCTGTTCAAATGAGTTTTCAAAAGGTTTGACTATATTGAACATGAGCAAAAATCTCCCTCTTTTTGTCTTGAGAAACATTCTTAGCTTAAATTAATTGGCCATTCATGTTGGACATCATGTTATCTTCTGTAAAAAGTTGCTGTATTTCATAATATGAATACGCATAACTGCAGCCATTTTAGCCCACCTTAGTTCATCCACCCAGAATAGCAAGTTGTCCCTCTGTAAGATCCAGTTTTTTAAAGTAACATGAGAGGTTTAATATCTTCTATTCTATTTGCAAGTCCAGAAATTGTCTGAAACTTTTCTAATATTTAAACTTGTGAAGCCATGTCCTATTATACAACAGTGACAAACTCTGAAAGAGGTGCGTGATAGTGGCAAATAGCTCTGTTCTTGTCATTGTAGTTGTTTGTCAGCAGTAAAATCAAAGAAAGAGTGAAAGGTGTCGCAGCCTGTGTTTTTCTAATATTTGTCGATGGTAACTTGTCATCTGTCATTTGTAAAGTGATGTGCTTGTTTAGTTGACTTAACTTTACAATCCAATTTAGAAAAAGAGCTGGCGTAACTCTGGCTAATGTTTGCAAATCTGCCAAATAGTACTGCCAATAATGAAAGTGTGGTATTCACATAAAGAAATCATAATACTTGTATTACTTTTCACAAGTAGAATACTGAGAACATTTTTACACTTTTTTTTTCAAATGCTTGCAGTGAAGCAAAATCTAAGTTAGCACCTCTCTACTTCTGAAGTTAACAAAATGTTCAAACTTGATTGTTCCATAAAATGTTTAGCTAAATGTTTGCTGTCAATGACATAGTAAGAACGTGTAGTTAACTGTAACATGGTATGTAGCTGGAAGAACACAGCAGGCCAGGCAGCATCAGAAGAACGGGAAAGTTGACGTTTCGGGTTGGGACCCTTCTTCAGAAATGGGGAGGGGGAATGGAGCTCAGAAATAAATAGAAAGGGGAGGGGAGGGATAGGGCGGGGGAAGGTAGGTGGGATGGTGATAGGTGAGTGCAGGTAGGGAGTTGGTGGGGATTGGTCAGTGGGATGGGTGGGGCAGATAGGTGGGAGAGAAGATGGACAGGTTGTGTCAGCTCAAGGAGGCGGGGATAAGAGGGAGGGTTGGACATGGGATGGGGCCGGGGATGGGGCAATTTTAAAACTGGTGAAATCCACGTTTAGGTCATCAGACTGTAGGCTCCTGAGGCAGAATATGGAGTGGTTCAAGATGTCAACCCACCATTCCTCCAGTTTGTGGTTCCCACTCCCTCGGTGACATGTCCATCCTGGACCACCTCCAGTGTCACAATGATACCACCCACAAACTGGAGGAGCAGTAGCTCATATATTCTGCCTCGGGAGCCTAGAGCCCGATGGCCTAAACATGGAGTTCACCGGTTTTAAAATCTCTCCACCCCCAGCCTCATCCCATGACCATCCCTCCCTCTCATCCCCACCTCCTTGACCTGACACAACCCGTCCATCTTCACTCCCACCTATCCGCCCCACCCATCCCACTGACCACTCCCCACCAACTCCCTACCTGCACTCACCTATCACCATCCCACCTACCTTCCCCAGCTCCATCCTTCCCCTCTCTATTCCTGAGCTCCCTTTGCCTTCCCCATTTCTGAAGAACGGTCCTGACCCAAAACGTCAACTTTCCTGCTCCTCGGATGCTGCCTGGCCTACTGTGTTCTTCCAGCTCCATAGTGTATTATCTCTGACTCGAGCATTTGCAATTCTTGCTGTCCTTGTAGTTAACTATACGTTCGTTTGGTAGTGTCAGCACTCTATTTCTATTTGTCTGGAGGTAGCTCAATTGTTAATTAATCAAAGTTAATTGATGTTTAGAGTTGATCTAACCCTTTTTAATTGTTCTTTCTTTTGGCACATTTAGGAAACTCAGCAGATTCCAACGCAAGAGGTACAGCTTGATGTCTATCTGTCCAATGGACAGAAAGTAACAGTCAATATTTTCAGTTCAGACCAGACAGAAGATGTGCTAGAGGTAAAAAAAAGTAATAAATGAAACCCCGAATCATATTAGTGAATAAACTTTGATCCTATCTAAGTTTGTTCAGGATATTCTGGTAGATAACCTGCGTAGAAATGTTCAGTTTGTTTGCAAAGAGCCATTTGGTTATGCTCAGTAGAGATTAGCAGTTTTTAAGTTTATTTCTGAGCTATTCTAGAACTAAATAACTTGCTTACCAAACAACATAATATTTAAAAATTGTTAAGTTTATTTGAGCTTGGAGCATTCTTGTGTGACAAATCTTAAGGAGAATTGACTTTTGAAAGATGCTGGATAAAATTATACACAAGTCCATTCCTTGGGTCCAGTATTGTTCTATTCATATTTTCAGACTTCATTTTGTATTGGACTTACTACTTAATAACGCCATTAATGACAGAAGGAGAATAAAAATGGCAGATGTTATGAACCAGAACTGGAGTGGTTCAAGATGGCAAACCACTACTACTCTAGGTCAATGAACGTAGATCTAACCAGTCCACATTCCCAAGAATGAATAATAATTAAAACGAAAAACTTCGTTAGATGCCTTGCATTGTGAAATTAGAGTTCTAAATCATGGAATATTCTATGAAGTACTTTCAATTCTGTTTGATTTTTATTTGTAGAAATGCGTTTTCTTAAAATATGCTGGGGGCCAGTATTCTATGCCTTGAAAAATACAGGCTAATTCATGTCTGTGATCATGGAAATTTTGCAGAAGGAATCCAAGAGCCCAATTGTGGCTCATCCGTCTAGAAAGACTTTTCTTGGTCCTTTTGATTGCATTGCCATCCTCTTAGAAATAGTCCTGTCCAGGGCTAGGTTTGCTGCACCTCAATGCTTTTTGCTTAACGGCAACATTTTATAACTGCTACTGTCAATTTGCTGAACTTTGAGAAAAATTGACAGGATGGTAACTGGGCAAATAGAATTTATCTAGTTTTTAGTGGATGGGACATACTGAGCCACTTTTGCATGTTGTCAGGCAAATGTTACCATTATAGTTGCATAAAAAGTTTGGTCATAGAACTGGCTAATTCTGGTGTGCAGGTCTTTAAAGCATATGGTTAGAATAATATGATAGCCTTATTGGCTTTTGGGGTTCATACCAAATGAGATCATTTAAACAGTTATTATACCTATGGTGAAGAGGAAAAGTTCAGGAGAATGACACTAGGACTGATTAAGGTCAAATCCTGACCATCAGATTGCTGAGGACAGGGTTAAATAATGTTGCTTGTGGGAAAACCTATATTTTAAGAACTAGGTGATTGTTCACGTGATGTGATCAAGTTTTCTGTGTGATAAACAATAGACATCAAAATCAGCAAAAGATCAGTTATAGAAGCAAGTAGATTGTTGGTATGCCTATGACCTAGAACGGAATTTTGGTTTGAACAAGCTTGGTGCAGGAAACATCTCTTTCAAGCAGAATTCATTTGAAATTTTGTGTGCTAGCCAAAGAGTTTAAAACTCAAGTGAGGAACTCCTGTGTAAGCTGAACTTCCAGAGTAGCTGAACTAAAAAGAGAAAGATGCAAGCCTCCAGAGTTGAAAATTGTTAAGAACTTAATATACAAATGATGCCTGTGCTAATCAAGGCATCTGTAACCATGGGATAGTTTGAAGAGATTTGAAGGGACAATTTGCATAAAGTAAGCAGATAGCTGAAGAAATCTCTGCCCTTACAAGAATCTTTTAAATGATACATTAACTTCTGGTACTTAACTGTCTTGCATTAATTGGAGGTGCTGGTATTGGACAGGGGTGGACAAATAAACCTATTTGACTGTAACCTACTGTCATGTGATTTCTGAGCTTGAATTAACTGGAATGCAAGTCAAATGTGAGATGAAAGAGAATTGGATTTGAAAGTTCACATTAAAATTGTAAGTTTTTGGGTTCATTGTACTTCTAATATTTTTAATCTAATTGACTATTGAAGTAGTTTTTGGGATTTTTAAATTTCATTTTCATGGAGTAAAATTATTTTTAAAACCATAATCCTTCCAGCCTGTGGCATCCCAGTCTTTTGGTTGTCTTAATAGGAGCATGGGAGCAGGAGTGGGCCATTTAAGCCATGGCTGATTATCTACCTTGCATTTCCCATGCTATCCTGATATCCTTTGATCGATTTGTATTTAGTAATGACATCAAACTCTGTCGTGAATTTCATTGAAAACTTTGTACCTAGAGAGCTTGGAACCTGACTTCCAAAGATTCACCACCCTCTGAGTGCAGAAGTTCATCATACTCCTAAATGAGTCGCCTATTTCTCGGAGTCGTACAGACGTACAGCACGGAAACAGACCCTTCAGTCCAATTTGTCCATGCCGATCAAACTTCCCAAAATAAACTATTCCTGTTTTCCTGTGTTTGGCCCTTAAACCTCAACGTTTCGTGTTTATGTACCTGTCCAAGTATATTTTAAATGTTGTCACTCTACCTGCATCTGCCACGTCCTCTGGCAGCTCATTCCACATATGAGCCGCACTGTTTTTTGGGGGCGGGGGGGAAGTTGCCCTTCGGATCCCTTTTAAATCGTTCTACTCTCTCTTTAAAAAATGTCCTCTAGTTTCGAACTCCCCTACCTTGGGGAAATAACCTTGCTTTTCACTCTATCAATGCTGCTCATAAACCTCTAACGTCAACCTCTTATGCTCCAGTGAAAAACGTCCCAGCCTAACCAGACTCTCCCCGTAACTTAAAGCCTCTAGTCCCAACGAGTGGATAGAGCACTGGCAAATGGAATTCAACCTGGAAAGTGAGCTAGTGCAAGTGCGGAGTGCTAACACAGCAAGGGATGACACTGAATGATAGGACCCTGTAAAGTACGGAGGATCAGAGCATCCACGGATCCCTGAAGGTAGCAAGGCAAGTAGATAAGGTGGATTAAGGCGACATGTAGGATACTGGTCTTTATTAGCTGAGGCATAGAATACAAGAACAAAGAGGTTATGCCAGAATTGTAAAATGCTGATTAGGCCACAACTGGAATGTTATGTATAGTCCTGGACCGCACATCGCAGGGGGACTACAAGGAGACTTACTGGGGTCTGGAGGGTCTGAGACATGATGAAAAATTGGATAAACTGGGATTGTTTTCCTTGGAGCAACGAAGGTTGAAAGTGAACCTGATGGAAATGTGGAAATGTAAAAATAGAGGGGAACAGTTTTTTTTTTAAGTCAATAACCAGGGCGCACAGATTTAAAGTAAGAGATAGAAGGCTAAGGGAGAGTTGAGAGATTTTTCTCCCTCAGATGGTGGTGGGCGTTTGGAACTCACTGGGTAAAGGGATGATTGAGTCAGAAATTCTTAGAATAATTCAGCTTTTCAGATATTCACTTTCATTCCCTTTGCATCCAGGGCTGTGGCTGAAAACTGGAGAAAGGAATTAGTGTAGAAAGAACTTTGACTGATACATTGGGCCGTATGGCTTTTTTTTTTGTAATTGTTTGAATACATCTGCTGTCTCCCTGTTATCCAGCAAATTTTCTAGGCATGAAGATATGTTCTCCCTACACCATGAACTTTTCCAGAATAACCTTTTGATTTGACATCTTAGATTTCCAGAAGGAATTTGATAAGTACAGTACAATCACCACTTTCCCTTCATCCACAGCAGATTACTTCTTGTAGGACCTCCAAAAACTTGGTTAAACATGATATCACTTTCACAAACATTGGGTCTGCTGTTAATCTTGAGCTTATCCAAGAGCCCTGCTAGAACTTCTTTAATAACTTTGAACATTTTCACTAGTACATATGTTCTGTTAACTGGCTGGTAGTTACCTGGTTTCTGTTTCCCTCCCTTTTGAGGTAGAATTGTTCCCAAATCAAGGGAGTTTCAGTTAAAACCGATGCATCAACTATCTCCTAGACATTTCTTTTAAGACCCTAAGATAAGGGGAGGTGATGGCCTAGTGGTATTATCGCTGGACCGTTAATCCAGAGACCCAGATAATGTTCTGGGGATGGTGGAATTGCAGATGGTGGAATTTGAATTCAATAAATATCTGGAATTAAGAATCTAATGACCATGAATCCATTGTCGATTGTTGGACCTGCTTAACTAATATCCTTTAGGGAAGGAAACTGCCATCCTTACCTGGCCTGGCCTACATATGACTCCAGACCCACAGCAATGTGGTTGACTCTTAACTGCAGTCTGGGCAATTAGGGATGGGCAATAAATGCTGCCTGGTCAGCGATGCCCTCATCCTGTAAATGAATAAATAAAAAAAAAATGGATATAGCCTAGCATGACTTAGACAAGTGTCAACACACAACCCAAACAATTTACTCAGTACCACTTACCTCATGATCATGACTTTCCTGAGTTTCTCCTTCTGTTCCATTTTCTGATTTATGACTGCTTCTGGAATTAGTTTTCTATAGCGAAAACTGATGCAAAAAGTTGATTAATACATTTGCCATTTCCTTCCATTTGAGTATTCCTTCTCAAATTTCATTTTCTATAGAATCAACACATGCCTTGTTTATTCTCTAAGTATATACATATAAAAAAAATCTCAACAATCGATTTCAATATTTTGCATTATTAGTTATACACTAATTTCCCCTCTTTATTAATTTTTTCTTTCTTAATATTCAGTTCAATTTTCTGACCTCTCTGCACATTTGTGCTTTTTTTTTTTAAGTTTGATACTAACTTCAGTATTTCTAGCCAATCTCTGATAGTGGACCCGTTCTTGGAATTGTTCTTGTCCTTTGGAATGTATGTTCTGTATATTCTAAAATATGCCCTTACATGTCTGCCATTACATCTGTATTGACTTATCCTTTATAACTTAATTTACGATATCCTTTTAACCAACTCTGTTTTCATGCTTTCAATAATTGTCCTTGTCTAGATTTTTTTTAAAAATGGAGGAGCAGTCCCTAGATGGTTGTAAAGATGATTTTGCAGGATCACCAAAGCTCAGGTTACTTCATTTTAATTTGATCTGATTGTTATGAGTGTTTATATT